AAAATTCTGATTTGTATCCAACATGCAGAGTTGTTCAGACCCATCTCTCTTCTCCTCCCCCATGCTGCGGTCCTTTGGACAGCCGGTGTGAGGTGGAGGAGAGGAGATATTAACGGTGCTGCCATCCATTATAAATGCTCCAATGATGGCTAAAGAGATAGCGGAAGTTGCAGTAATTGATCAGGGACTTGAGCATTAGTAAATCGCTGTGCCAAAGGGAAGAACTGTATGTTGAGTATCCAGATATTTTGCTTTTTGAGACTCCATTTCCTTTGATACTGGTGAAAATAATGATGGATGGAGGCCCAGCGATGCAATTAACCCATCTGGCCCTAAGGGAGTGCGCCTTCAGAGGGAGGTCCCCGGGCATGGGATGAGCAGTCCAGGGAAAGGAACCCTGGAGCCATGAAACCCAGGAAGAAAACTGAAACTAACCCACGTTAATGTATAATTGGTTCCCCGGTTAATAATGAAGCTAACCCCCAGAGGAGAGAGGGAGTTTTCCCTGTATTTGCGTGCAGGCCGGGAAAAGTGTCTGCTCAGAAGGGGGATTTTTTTAAAGAACGAAGTGAGACCGTGGACAGAAGCTAACACACTTTATCAACTTATTGCATTGTGAAGCACTTCTGGGCATCTGTGTCACACATTCTCAGACATGGATTGGAGGAGCTGCCACACACACCTCCAGCCTGCTTGCAAGCCTGATTTGAATGCTCTGTGTAGATTTGTGTGCACCTAGCCAGAAATAATAGGCACAGAAAAAGTACCACTGCTGGCCCAGTGGCAGTGATACTTAGCAAACTACATAAGCATGCCAGGGAGAGCTATTACAGCAGCGCTTTTCAGGAGGTTATAATTTAAGTGCTGTCGGCGTTTTCATGCACACCTCTATTTTCAGAGATGCATAACTCAGCTGTTATAAATAAATTAAATCCGGGTTGAAACTTGGCACAGGGGCTCTCAGATCATGGTATATTTTCCTTGGCAAAAGGTCCTGATGATAGAGGAGTGGGAAATAATAATTATGATAATATAAGGTGTCAGTAAAGCCATCTGTCAGCAAAACCACCTGTGACTTCCTTTGTGTAGCAGATACCAAGATGCGTACTGCAGATGACCTGCCTCTAATTCAAAGGGGAGCATACATGTAACTATGGGAAGAATTGGATTTGAGAGTATTTAAAATCATAGTCAAGTAATTTCTTAAGTGCTTTTCTTCTTTCTTTCTCTCTTCCAGGTCTGGAGTGGCATGGCCCAAGGATCTGTTCTAGGGCTGGTTTTGTTCAACATCTTTATTAATGACCTGGAGGAGGGGAGATGACACTAAGCTGGGGGGAGAGTAGGAATAAGGTTCAGAGTGACAAATTAGACAAATTAGAGGATTGGGCTAAAAGAAATCTGATGAGGTTCAGCAAGGACAAGTGCAGAGTCCTGCACTTGGGACGGAAGAATCCCAAGCATTGTTACAGGCTGGGGACCAACTGGCTAAGAAGCAGTTCAGCAGAAAAAGACCTGGGGATTACAGTGGATGAGACACTGGATATGAGTCAACAAGGTGCCCTTGCGGCCAAGAAGGCGAATGGCATATTAGGGTCCAGAAACAGAGAGTCCAGAACTACCAAACTGCTAACCTCTTTGACAGACAGTGGCCAAAGCACCTTGACAGACATAGCACATTGCAATCTTGGTTGCTCTGGTTAGTCTGGGCAAACCAGATTAATTTCCATATAACCTGGACTGAGATAAAATCTGTTTGCCATAATCTTTTGTTAACCAGGCATTGGCACAATCACTGTATCATCCAAGTTTAATGAAGGGGAGTTATTTCCTTAAAATTCATATTTAGTTCCATACCTGAAATTCAGTGCTGCTCTCAGTGGTGGCGGATGGCAGAACAAGGAGCAATGGTCTCAAGTTACAGTGGGGGAGGTCTAGGTTGGATATTAAGAAAAGCTATTTCCCTAGGAGGATGGGGAAACACTGGAATGGGTTCCCTAGGGCAGGGGTGGCATCTCCATCCCTACAGTTCTTTATGTCCTGGCTTGACAAAGCCCTAGCTGCAATGATTTCGTTGGGATTGGTCCGGGGGCAGAGGGCTGGACTCGGTGGCCTCCTGAGGTCTCTTCCAACCCTAGAATTCATCTGTTTTGAGCAACAACATAAGCTTGAGCAGCATCCTTCTCCTGCCAGCACGTGTGCAGTTAAAATCCTCTTGGGTGTAGTACTGGCAGGAG